GCTTGCACCTCTGCTTTTCACTGGACCCCCTCCAAAGCCCATGGGAGCAGAGGAGAGGACAGGTTCCAATCAGCATGGAAATGGCCAGGGGCCGGAGCCCACCTGAGCTCCCACGGGGTTGTGAGGAGCCTTTGCCACCATCAGGGGCAGGTTTTGGGGTGCGAACCAGGCTGGACAGGGATGGAGATGAGGATGGGTGCCACAAGGGGGGCAGAGCTGGTGCCCTGTACAGGGCTGAGCCTTGTGACAGGGGCCAGGTCTGACTATTCCATGTGTCAGTGGCACGCAGGCAATTAAAAGAGGATTGTGAGGCACTTTGGAGAGACAGGGCTGTTTCCACCTCAGAAAGGCAAAACCTCTGTCCTGATTTTTTCCTCCTCTCCTCCCCGTGTTTTGTGGAAATTGATAAGATCTGAGGATGAAGCGCTCCTGCCCGGAATGGTGGAGGGCTGGGTTTTGAGCAGCCCAAACTCACCCAGCAGAATGACTCCCAGGGCAGAGTGGGGAGCTCAGGAGCAAATCATCACTCATCCCTCCAAGGAACCTCAGCCACTTGCAGCACCCACTGCGCCACCCCCAGCCAGCTTCCCTTCCCTCCCCGTTCAGAGCTGGATCCTGCCAGTCCCCATGAGAGATGCCCACCCGGGATGTGCTGCAGGAAGAGCCCCTGTGCCCCCAGCCGCCCCGGCAGAGCCCCGCGGGGAGGCAGCCCCTGGCATCCCGCACATCCCGGCCGCTCTCACCTCTCCAGGCACGTGTGGGGCAGCGCTGCTAATCCTTTGCACATCTTGGCAGGCTGTAGTTCCCTCGACCGCGAGAAGGGTGTGAGTGATGGCCAAAGCGGGCAGCAGAGGCTCCGTCTGCAGCCCGGCTGCCTCTCTCGTTCCTATATAGCGCCGCAGCTGGACCCCCGCCAGCCCCGTGTCCAATGCCGGCCGCCCTGCTGCAGCTGGCCCCAGCCCCGCCGGCTTCTGGGCTTTGTTTTCTTCTCTCTAAGCTCACACAGGGGGAAGGGAAATGTGGATTTGCTGGGGTGAGATCAGGTAATCGAATTGGAAGGGCCAAGCTGAGGTTTAGGGGACTTCAGGAAGCCCACAGCATTTCTATTAAGGATTCATCAGGCTCCATGTCAGTATTTAGAAGAGCCAGGTAGAAATGCTTCATTCAAGTGAGATTTTTTGAGTGAAAAATGGAACTTTCAGAAAAATAAAAATGCTTGTGAGAAGTCTTGCTATTTATTTCAAGGCAGTGGCTAATGTCAAAATATCCACTGCTTCAACAATGGTGGTGGCTATCAGTGACTTTAGTTTCAGACCTTGGCTCCTGGGTGACTATGAAAATGTGCCTCTCTGTGCTTTGTTTAACACTGGGAGCTGGGAATAGGGACTTTGCTCCCAACCTGGCTGTCCACACCCAGAGGCACTAACAACCACCATTTCCCTGGGTGAAACCCAGGGTTATATTTAAGCTCAGCTCTTGGTCCTCTTTCACTTGTGCTGTGTCAGAGATGTGCCTGCCTGGCTCTGGCTTCTGGCTGGATTTTAGGCTGTTGTGGGATTATGCAGCAACACACTGCCTGTGTTCAGGCATCTGAGTACAGTAAGTGAAAGCTGGAAGTCTGCTGGAAACTGTGCCTCCCTGGAGAGCTTGGCCTGGCTTTGTACTCGTTTGTAGTGGAAACTGAATGAAAAAAAGTACAGCTAACAATTTCAGAGGATGAGATGATCAGATAATAATGGCTTGGGCAGATTACAGCCCCCAAGATGCACTCAGGCAACGGGTCAGAGCCAGGGTGTGGTGGGCTGCCCTTCCCTCTGCTGGCATGGAGGTGCCCACCAGCCTCCCTCGTGTCTCACAGAGTGGGGAAGGGAAGAGCAGCACCCACAAAGGATGGAGGTCCTTTACTCTTCCAGGCTGTTCTCATTCTGCCCTGTTCTCAGAGGACTCAGGAGGAGCTTGGAGGTGCCTCACCCCCATCAAGGGTAGCTCAGTGGCCCCATCTCCCAGCAGCTGGGGTGCAGCCCCTGCTCTCTGGAGGAGCATAGCCTTGCAAACTGCACCTTTGCTGGGCTGTGCCAGTGCCCTTGGGGCCAGAGAGTTCATCAGGGTCACGCATTTGCTAGCAGGGATGTCACCAGGATGTCACTGAGTGCCAGCTCAGAGGCTGTTTTGAAGAGCCCCTTTGCAGCGTGGTGCTGTTTGCAGGAGGCTGTGCCGGCTGCTCAGGCAGCCCCCAGCTCGGAGGGAAGGCGGTGGCAGCATGGGCTGGGTAAGAGGGGCTGGTGGCTCTCACAGCTCAGGGCTGGGAGGGACAGCAGGGCCAGGGCACCTCCTGGGCAACCCCCACTGCTGACCCTTGGCAAGGCAGTATCCTTTCATCACCAATTTCTGTAATAAAGCCAGCATGGGAATCCTGGGAGAATGGGGCTCTGTGGGACCAGGTGGTTTGTGTTACTGCTGCCCAGTGGCCTCTGAGCACCCTTCCCTGCTCTGCTCTCCCGCCAGCTGCAGCCAGGGCTGCGCGCCCTTGGAAATCCGAGAGCCCCGCCAGGCGTGCCAAGGACTCGGCTCCATCTCTGCAGACTCCTGCTGCTCACAGAACCTGGAGCTTTCCCCAGTGAGAGCCCCTGGCAGGACTGGGTCTCTTCCCTGCAGACTTTAGTCTCCTTCACCTCCTTCAGCCCTAGGTGAGCAAATCCTCTCTGCCGTAATTCAGCGAGCAGTGGTCTAAAATCTCTTCCAAAGCTCTGGGGTGGGGGTTTAAGGAGTGCACAGAGCAAATTGGGCAACTGAGGTCCAAAGTGCGTGAGGAAACTCCATGTGGGAGGGTGATAAGGAAGCTATGCTGTGTGCTGGGATTGCAGCTGAGCATTTAACCACAGATTTATCTGAAACACTGAAAAAGAAACCGTTACCACCGAGCAGAAACAAGGGTTACACATAAATGGCTTGCATTTTCCACAGAGTTTTGTCCAGTAAGAAATGTTTGTTTTGTGTGTTTCAAAGCTTTGGAGTGCTAAAAAAATATTTCCAATAAGAAACTACACAGACCTTCCTAATTTTCCCACGACAGCTTAATTTCTTTAAGAGCCCTTCTGGGAGAGCTTTTTGGAGATCTGAGTGCACTCTGAGGAGAAGATTGTCTTGTGTACACAATGGCTGGTTTCCTCCAAGAGAGATCCAGGCTTGTGCCTTGCAACTGACCCCTCAAAAGCCACGTGGAATCTCCCATTACACCCAATTTATCCTTGGCCCTGTTATTTCCAGACTTTATTATCCTTTCTAGCAACGTGCCTTTTATAGAAGGCGGCCTATCTGCTTTGCTGTTTCCTGGTTCCCACTGGAACTTTTTAAGAACTAGCATCATATTTAACAATATTGACCTTTTGGTAAAGGGATCACTGCAATTGTCATCCAGGAGAGTATTTGGACATTCATCTGAGTGTTCCTTTTGGCAGACTTTTAACCATGTGTTCTAAAAATGGTGTTAAAAATATTTTTTTCCCCTGCATGCTTTGGGACAGTCATGAAAATGTGTGTCCCCTAAGGAATGATGGCAGTGTGAGCTCCCTAACAGCAAAGGGCAATGCAAGTAACTCAGCGAGGCTTTCTGTGATGGCTCATTCCTTCCTATAGAGCCTGATCACATCCTGTCCTTGAGCCTCCCTGGAGAACTTTCTGCTTCTCACATAGTCATAATTCATGTTTATGCCTTTAGGATGCTTTCTCACATCTTCTGTGGCTTGCTTTTCACCTGGTTTTTCCAGAGCTTGAATTCTTTTTTTTTTATTCTCTCATCTCAATTTTCACTTCTTTAAGGTCTTGTCACTTTGGATGTTCATTTCCACTCCCTTGTATAAGCACGTGCCCTTTTAAAAAAAATCTTTGAGCATTGAGTGCACCACGCCTGTGTAACCCAGTGTTGCAGGTGACCAGCCTTTGTGCTCCTCATACTTGCGTGATGCTGACCAGCCTACCCCTCATTTCCCTTTGTGCATTAAATACTACTCTCAAGGTGTTGTTTTGCTCTCACTGGGACAGTCTTTTTCAGTAGCTGTGGCTCTGTGGCCCCTTTGAACTGAGCCCCTCACGTGGCTGAGGAGTTGTCTAGGTGCAGGCCTACACCATCTCACTGCCCCCACCAACTTCCTGAGGCCCAAGCCAACGATGGAAATGCTTGTGTAGAAGGAGGAGATGAGATCTAGGCTCCCTCCATTTGCCACATCCAAGTCACTGACACAGGAGCCATGGGTGAGGTCAGAGAATCCTGGAAAGCAGTGTTACCCGGAGCACTGGGACTCTGGCCAGCAGGGAACTTGGGAGTCACGTATGTTCTGCATCCCCTGTGGGGAGCCACCGAGTTCCTCGACCCCAAGCACGAGGCCTGAGGACAGCCGGGGCCTGGGACACTGCCCTGCCCTGCTCCTCGTGCCTGCTCCACGCCCACAGAAGGAACCTCCTCCCCTGCTGGCACCTGGGCAGGAGCAGGCCCCCTACAAGGTGTGCACAGGGCTGACCTCAACTTTTGCACATGCAGAGCACTCCTGGGAAAACGGGGCTGGGCTCAGGCTCTTTTGTGTCTGCAAGGAAAGCCCAGAGGGACGGGCGTTTGCAAGTATTTACATAGCGTTTTTGTGACTACAGGTACCAAGTGGCAGACCAGGTGTGAGTAGCAGCGTCCCTAGAGCCCTGCGCTCTGAGCAGATGAGCCCAGGAGTGTCTGCACAGACCTGCTGCAGGCAGAGCCACCACTCCTGGCGCCTCAGCAGCTGCTGCTGAGCATCCAGGAGCTCTGCTATCCAAACAGCACTGGTGCCACCATGTGCTCTGTCAAGTGCAGCCTCCACACAGGCAGCTGTGTCTTGTCTCTGCCTTCCTGTGCCTGTCACCTGCCTGTGAGCATTCTCTGAAGTGACATGATCTGAGCACATGAGGCTGAGGCTGGGTTATTAGCATGTGGGTGACAGACACTATTTCAACACAAAGCCGGCACAACCAGATCAGTCACAGGGTTTTATTCAAGGCCTGGATTACATCATCTTTACCCGTATTCGTATTACAGATCCAGGCAGCAGAGCACATTGTTTATACCCACCCAGCAGCCAGCACCTGCATTTTTGATCCCTTGACAGAATCAGCCAAAGTGCAAAGAACTGGATGTACCTCTGGCTCCATGCTAGCCATGCAAGCACCCCACACCTCTCCCATGTGTGCATTCATCCTCAGCCCAGAGAGCATCTGAAGAGTGAACCAAGCTCCTGCGTGTCATCCCTGCTGCTCTATGTGCCCTGCTGTGGCACTGCCTTTCCTAGCTCATGGATGGCCCCGTTCTCCAGCACCTTTACCTTCCCCTCTCCTGGTTGCAGTGCACAGGCCACCATAGCCCTGGCCACCATTTCCACAGGCACTGAGTAAGCGGTGGGGAACAGCCGAGCCACAGCGCCCAAGAACTGCTGGGCTATCCACTCCATGGGCCGGGACTCCTGGCGCCTGCACAGCAGCACCCTGCAGAGCAAGAAGGTGAGGTGGGTCAGCATGAAACAATCCAGGCTGAAAGCTAGAGACTGAGTTCTCCAGCTGCACCAGGGCCCGGACAAGCTCCCTGAACTGACACGGGCTTTGGGGCTTTCGCAGGGTCATGGAATGTGACAGAGCTGAGCCCTTGGACACTAAACTCCTTTCCCCACTGTGCTGATGAAAGCAGAATTCCAGCTCTCCTAGGTATCAAGAGCACAGTACACCTGAAAGGACACAGGGGAGTGTTCCCTCTGCATAAGGTCAAGGTCCATCTGGAGCTAAGCTCTGACCTATGTGCCTCAACCTAGGCTTTCAGCCCAAGGCTCCTGTAATTGCGTGGCACATGGCACTAGCAGTGGGATGGGCCATAGGAAACTGCAGAGATTGCTCCCTGCAGCACTGGGAAGCAGTCTGCTCATTCATGAGCTACATTTGCAGCTGCTGGCATTCTCCACTTCCCTCCCCAGCCCTGCCCTCACGTATCCTTTCTCTTCCTCCCTCTCCCAGTGAAGCATTTCCCTGCTGCCCTGGCAACCCCGCACCCTGTGCCCCCCCTCCTCCACACTACTCACGCTGGCCGGAGAATGGTACAGTCATCAAAACCAACAGCCTGGACCAGGTTTTCCACTTCTCCCTGTCAGAGCAGGCAGGCAGGACAAAAGGAGACAAGGATGAGTGCAAGCACCATCCCTGCCACCCCCATGAACACCCAGGAAAGGGCTGCTGAGCCGAGGGCAGGATGGCACTAAAACCAACATGAGGCTGGAACAGGCCAGGCAGGGATCAGCTCTCGGGGCCAGGCAGCCAGGGCGAGGGCCTGTGGTGGACACGGACCACGGGTCAGCAGTGCGCCCCTGCAACCATCACTAAACTGTGCTAAACTGCAACAGGCTGCTCTGGAGAGCATCTGGACTCAGCATCCAGCCTGGGGATGGATCCAGGCGGCACAAGGCGCTGGCAGGCAGCTCTGAATCCAGCAGGTGTTGGGAGCTGCAGCACTCAACACATGGACAAAAAAGCTTTTGTGACGGGTGTGGTCCTCCCTGGGGAGCCTGCAGGCCTTCCATCAGGAGATAGTTCATGTCTCACCTGGCCACAGCCCTGAGCTTCCCCACATAGCTGTGAAGCTATCCCAGCTTAAGGCTGGGGAACTGTTGTTGGGCTGGAGACCCCAGCACATGTTTCTGGAGTTTGAGGAGGGAGGCAGACGCTGCATTGCAGGTGTTGTGCTGCTTTATAAGAAGCCAGTTGCACAGCTGCCCAGCCAGCCCCCTCCCTTGTCCCGCAGCAGCAAGAGGATCCCCAGAGCCATTTGCATCTCTAAACCTCAGCTCCTGCTTGCTTCCCGAGCCTCCTGGCATCCCGTGATTCCTGCACGAGCATCAGGAGCCCACCCCAGCAGCCCCCTCACCTTCACGCGGAGGTAGAGGAAGCGGCTCTTTGCGTTTGCCCCCCGGGAGGACTGCAGGATAAAGTGTTTGCAGCCCCCTGCCCGTGCCAGCTCTGCTGCCTGCGCCACGTAGTCCCGATCCACACGGACAAAGCCATCCTGCAGTGAGAGGGGAGGGTCAGCGGGGCAGGGAGCGGGGCAGGGGAGGGGACAAGCGGGACCCCTGCTCGCCCGGGGGTCAGGGGCTCCCCACTCACTGCTCCAGCCTTGGCCCTGGTAGTGCCCAGGCAGCAGAAGCCCACGTCGTGTCCCTGGAACGCGGCGGCGTGCTCGCCCAGCCGCTCGAAGTCCACCACCGCCTGCTCCTGCGGGAAGGCCGAGGGTCAGCGCCGCCGGCCCGGTCCCCGCCACCACGGCCAGCCCTGTCCCCCGGGCCCGCGCACCACGGCCGCCTCCGCCTCGCCCAGGCTCAGCCGGCGACGCCCGATCAGCGTGACCCGGGCGAAGGCCCGCCGGGCCAGCAGCTCCCGCAGCAGCACCCGGCCCGTCTCCCCGGAGGCGCCCAGCACGAAGCAGCTCCTGCCGCCGCCCGCCGCCGCCATGCCGAGAGCAGCGGGCAGGGCCGGGCGGGGCCGGGGCGGGAGCGGCTGCGCGGCCGCGCTTCGGCTCCGCGGGCGGGCGCTCCGTGCCCGGGAAGCAGTGGGCGGACGCCACACGGGGCCGTTGCTGGGGCCAGGGCGGGGCTGTCGGGGCGGGGGCGGCCCAGGGACCCCCGCTCAGCCCGGGCGCTGCTCCCAGCGCGCAGGGAAGGTGCCCCTTGGCCGGTCCCCGCCGGCTGTTCCTGCAGCGACAGAACAGAACGCCCCCCGAGGATCCCTGTGCTCGCCCCGCTTAGGCGGAGGGGATGTGAGCTGGAGGGATGCTCGAGGGGTCTGTGACTTGTCCGGCGGCTCCTCTCCAAACCCCGGTGGGTTCAGCACGTGCTGCCGGCCGGGGTGCTCGGCAGCTCTGTCCCCTGGGCAGGAGGTGGGTCACTCCCCGCCGGGCAGCCTTGCAGTGACTCCACTGTGAAGCAGTCCCTGGTGCCTGAAGAGCAAGGAGATGAAGCCCATTTCCTTAGGAACTCTCGCTGAGCAGGTCTTGGGATGTGCTGGCAAGCGCAGACCCCCGCTCCGGACACTTTCTGTGCTTTTCTCTCTGATAGGGACGACGCCAATCCTCGCCGGGGCGGTCCAGGTCCCCCCGGGACATAGCTCTGGAGCAGGCATGCAGGCACCCCGCGGCTCTGCACAGCCAGTCCCGTGGGCAGCATCAAGGGGCCCCGCGGCACCACGATCCCGTTTGTCCTGATTCCTGGGGAGGGAGGTGCAGAGGCCTGAATGGCTGCTGTCGGGATCAGCCAGGTGGTTTTCCAGCCTGGTGTGTCTGTCAAGTGCGCTCCTTGGCCGAGGGCTGAGGATGAATCCCAGGTGCACGTGCCATTTGCGAGGCAGGACGCGCGTCATGACAGTCACCGGGTAAATGGCTGGCATCCCGCTCCACCTGCCAGTGTGCCGCCGGCACCCACGGCCGTGCCCTGCTCATTGGGCTCTGCTCCACAGCCACAGGCAAACCCAGGTGCGTGAATGAGGAGGAGGCTGGGGCGTACCAGGGCTCGGGGGTACTGGGACGGGTGCTTGACAGTGGCAGGAGAACAGTACAGTGTGACAGAAGTACAGGCAGCAAAGTATATGGGGCACTTGTGGTTATAGGGTATGGTGTGTTCTAGGGTTTTATGGTACGGTGAGGATGCCACTGGGGAGGGTGGGATCGGAATGCATGCTCCCACCACTCATGGTCTGGTTCTCTTCCACGGCAGGGCTCTGGGGGGCCAGCCAGGTGCCGAGGTGCCCGCTCTCCCGGTTATGGAGACAGGGTCCCGGCGCAGCGCTGCCTTCGACTGTGTGCCCCAGCCGGCAGCCTGCTGCCCTGACTGGATGGCGGGGCTCCCCGACGCCCTGCCCCTCTCCCACCTCTCCATCCCTGGCACCCACGACTCCCTCAGCCTGTTCGGTGGCCGGCGCCTGCGGTGCCAGAGCTGGGGCCTGGAGGCCCAGCTGGCGGCCGGCATCCGCTTCCTGGATGTGCGCTGCAAGCTGTCGCGGGGTGAGCTCCGCATCTACCACCTCTGCACCTTCCAGCGGGCCAGCCTCCGTGGCGTCCTGCGCCGCACCCTGCGCTTCCTCCGCGCCCACCCCGGCGAGGCCGTGCTTATGCGCATCAAGGAGGAGCTGCCCATCTTCTCCCGGCCCGGCTTCGCTGCCCAGCTGCACCGCTGCCTGCTGGAAGAGGGACAGGGCTGCGTGTGGTGCCGGGAGGAGGTGCCAACGCTGGGCCAGGTGCGCGGGAAGATAGTGGTGCTGGAGGCGCTGGCGCGGGAGGTGCTGGGCATCCCCTACGAGCAGCTGAGCATCAGCGACGCCTGGAACGTGCTCTCACTGGAACGCAAGTGGGCCCGGGTGCGGCGGCACCTGGAGAAGGCGGCCGGCGGAGACCCCAGCACCATGTACCTCACCTTCTGCTCCGGCAATGGGCTCTTCACCTGCCCAGAGGAGGTGGCTCGCTTTGTGAATCCCCGCTGCTGCCAGCACCTGCGGCGCCGGGGTGGGCAGCCCGTGCGCTGGGGGGTGGTCATCATGGACTTCCCTGGCACAGGCCTTCTCCGGCTCATCGTGGAGAGCAACGGCCCGCGGACCAATGGACACGGCACAGCGGCCCCCGGCACCCCCACGGTACGGTCCCGGCACCGCCGCGGCAGACGGGACCGAGGCCGCAGCCCGCACAGCCCCGCAAGCTGCCCGCGCCGCTGTCCCTCGGGGAGGACACTGCTCCCGGCCCCGCGCCTCTGCCCAAGGGCCGCCGGGCCTGGAGGGCAAAAGCGGGTTTCTAGGTCTTGCAGAGCACCGAGAAGCCTTCGTGTGACGATGGTGTGACAGCCGCAGAGGCAGCAGAGGAGGGCCGGCTACGGCCGGAGCCGGGCAGCCCAGGGAGCTGCGCCTTGCCCTGAGAAGCCAGGTACGGTGCCGGTACGGGGCTGGGCCGCCTGAGTCGCACAGGGCAGCAGTGGTGGGTGGGGGTAGAATGTCCTGCCTCACCTCCTGTCGGGCCAGTGAGTCCTCCCAAGATGCCTCTCTGCAAAATAGTCCTTTTCCTTAAGGGTAAATAAAAATAAAAAGAAGCTAGGAAAGCACTGCCGATGTTGCCTTGCCATTTCCTGTCAGAAAAGTGGAGAAAAGACGTTTTGCTTTTGCTTCTTAGATGTGAAGGAGCTTGTACCCCTCTGCCCATGGATGAAGCACTGTTAAATTGTTGCCTGTGACCATCCTGCTCTTAAAGCAGCGCTGCAAGAGGTCACAGGAGTAAGAATTAATTTCAAAGGTGACAACAAGTGGCTAGGAACAGCCCTCCCCTCATTGTTTTAGCTTTTATTTCTTTCTTGCAGGGGCTTGCCCCAGAAGTCAGGACTCTTAGGAAGAGCCAGCTTCAGCAAGGGCCACCCACCCTGTGCATGGAGCGCTGGATGGCCACAGAGGCAGCGACTCAGACAGGGCTACCCTGTCCCTGGGGTCACACACCAAGGGATGCTGCACTGGGCAGAGCCCAGCAGTTTGCAACAGCTGGGGCAGTGCAGACAGGGTACTTTGTAGCTCTACATAAGCAAGGTGGTTGAGGCACAAAAAAGACTTTAAAACATGTTGTGCCAGTGCCTGCCCTATCTGCAGATAATAAATCACTAATACAAATAGACAACACAATAACTCCTTTGAGCAGAAAGGTAACCAAGATCCCAAGGGAGAAATCATCACCCAGGAGCGTGTCTGCTGCATCACTGGCAGCAGCCGAGCCAGACAGGCTGTGTGCTGAAGCAGGGAGGTGGGAAAGAAAGAGGTACTTTTAGAAGAAGAAAGCTCAGCCTTGGCCTGCCAGAAGGTGAAGAATGTCCTCAGGTTGCTTCTGTCTTGGGTGAAACACAGCTGGGCACAGCTGGAGGAGATGCCACAGGAGTTCCTGGCCCGAGGAGAGGATGTCTTTTGCTGTGCAGGGCCTAGCCCTGGCTAGCGACACGGCTCTCAGTGCTGAGTTCATCTGCTGCCCAGGGAGGGGAGCTGGCAATAGTACACAGCAGGTGATGCAATAGTACACAGCAGGTGACAGAGGTGACAGGCAGAGGAATCTGTCTCTGGGATTGCTATGTGAGATGGGAGAAGGTTGAAAACTCTGCATTAAACCAGACATGCTACAAAAGCACTGGTGGTGTCCAAGGTGAGGGTGGCCTGGTTCATTGGCTACCAGTGTCTCCTGTGCCTGGGCTGCCCCCACACCAAGCCAGTGTGGCTGGTCTGTCCTGCCAGGAGGATGGGTTCTACTGGGGCAGGGCCAGGTGAGTCGGTGGCTTGTCTCAGCTTGTTCCAGGGATGCACAGTGCCATGGAGAGCCAGGCAGGGCAGAAGCAGGGCAATCACAGTTCCTAGGAGCTGTAGGCTGAGTGGTTTGGCTGTCACTCAGGGCTGCCCCTGGATGTGGCACATCCCTGCAGCTGCACCCCAGCAGTCTGTACCCACCCTGTGCCCCAGCTCGCTGGCAGGGCAGAGGTGCCGCCTGGGATTCCCCGGGTGGGCAGAGTCACTTGTTTACTCCCTGTCACTCAAGCAGCGAGATAATGTCGGTGTTATCTATGCCCCAGGCATCCTGTTTGGCAAACCCTTATCTGTGCCGTGCACATGTGGCTGGTGCCAGGTGCCAGGGAGCCGGCAGGCAGCATGGGCAGGGGTACCCGTGTGACAGTGATGCCCAGTGAAAAGGGTCTCCAGCACCAGCTTCAAAGTGAAAGGCAGGAGGCAGAGAACTGTCCTACAGCTGAGGTCAAACAAACATCTCTGAGAGGGTCTGGATAGGGTGGGCAGGAGCGATTTGCCCAAAACTACCCCTACATTCCACAGCCAGGGCTGTCCCAGCGCCTCAAGGTCCCTGTGGGTGCGGGCTACGGGGTACCTGTCCCTGGACTTCTGGTCCTGGCTAATCCTTGCAATCATCTCAGTCCCTCCAAGCCAGGGTAGCACCCTTAATGCGTCTCCCGGTGTCCAAACGCTTTCAAATTGTGAGAAAGATTTTATCAGGTGCTGCTTGAGGCGGGGCAGCAACTGATAAAAGGGTGGAGGAGGAGGTCCGGCTGCCGGAGCTGTGCGCTGGCGGACTTGCCCAAAGGCACTCTGCAGCTCAGGGACACCCTTTGGGTCAAACTCTTCCTGGGGACCTGTGGTAGAAGTGATGTCCTGCCCGCGATCAGGAGATGCCTCTAAAGTCTCAGGGAGAGCCGCCCGTGTCCCCCGGGAAGAACGGAGGGATGGCAGCAGCGGGGCTGCACCCAGGCGTGTGTCCTCGCCGGTAGCACCCCACAGCCCTGACGGGCGGGATCGGGTACCTCCAGTGGGCTGTTGAGCCCTCCCCGGGGCGAGCGGGGCTCCCAGGAAGGTGCCCGCTGTATCGCGGGCAGCAGCCGAGCCGGCCGGGCAGTGTCGGGTGACTCGGTTCCTCTGCGGTTTGCGGACACATTGCACAAGGAGGGGAACAGGCTGTGCCAGCCTGGGGCGGGAGCCTCTGCTGTAAACAACGCGCGGCCGTGCCCCTTCCCCAGGAGCAGAGCCTGCGGCACGGCTCTAGGGCACTGAGAGCATCGCCCCGAGGGCTGCTCAGCACTGGGGCACAGCAAAGGAGGCGCTTCTCCATTCCAGTGCCTGGGTCTAGAGGGACAGGGCAGAGGTGACAGAGGAAAGGGTCTTTGTACCTGCTCCCTTGAGGCCATGCTGAGCAAAGCCCTAGCTGGCAGCTTGCTCGTGTCCTCAGAGGGATGGCTGGGGGGACAGGATGCACCATCCTGACACCTGGGAAATCCCCACACTGCTCAGCCCCTTCCGTGGTGAGCAGAGCAGCAGGAATCCAGCAGGAGCATGGATCTGCAGCATCCTGAATCCCTTCCAGGGAAGCCAACCTTGGAAATAACCTGAGATGTGAAAGGGCTCCTGGTGATTAACCAGCTCCCAGCAGAGCTGATTTGGGTCTTCTCTCCCCTCTACCATGTGTACTTTTTTCCACTACCTGCAAAGCAAGCCCCCATCCTGCCAAGTATCCATTCTGCCATGTAGGACCGCCTCTCTGAACCCAGGCATGGGGCACCTGCCTCCACACAGAGCTCGAACTTGGTCATTTTCTGTCTTTGCAGCAGCAACAGCCTCTGCATCTCAGACACCCTGATTCCATTTTTAAAGCAATACCAACAAAAGTAGTAGTTACAAAAATAAGGGTGGGAGTATTTTTTTCTACTGCTCTGCCCTACCATGTTGGGTTCCAGCAGAAGTGAAACTGGCAGGGGCACAGCCTGCTCTGCCCTGGGGCTGTGTACCCATGAGCACCCCTCTGAGTCCCAGCAGTCTCTCACCAGTAGGAGAGGCAGCTCCCACCCTGCCCAGGTGACCCTCAGCACTTGGTGCTGGTCTCCTCCCCAGCAGCTGCCCCTCAGCCTCTCTGTCTGCCTGGCTGCTCCTTCCCTTCCCATAACTGACCATCCTTGGCAGAGGAGCTGCTAGAAATCAAGTGCTCCTGAATTACTGGGTATACAGACTCAGCAATTCCATAGAAAGAAACAACTGCATTAAAACATTTTTCAAGGAAGATATCCAGAGACAGGAAACAAGGTTCATTTATATTGGCCAACAATAAAGTAATTGTAGTGGGTTATGGCTCTTGTGGAATGGGTTCCTCCTTTTGTCTAGAATGTCCTGGTGGAGCAGCATCAATTTCTTTGGAACTGGAAAATACATGTGACCTGCATGGCTCTTGTTTGGCTTTAGCTGGAAGTGAGCAGAGTAATTTCTGCAGAAAACCTGGCCAAGGCAATTCTACTTACAAACAGGACAGGGTAAGAAACTATTTATAATTATTATAATGATCCAAGGGGCGGTGGACACAATTAGACATGTTCCTGAAACACTGGTGGAAGTTCCTAAAGGATGTTAATAAGTCAGGAGGAAGTTCCTCTGGCATATTCCTGGACCTTTCTCATAAAGACTTAAAGGCAAAGACAGAAAAATGCATTGTGTAAGTAAGTGTTTATAAATGGTATGTGAAGATTCACAGCCAGAGCAAAACACCTGCATGCACGAAGAGTGTCTGGCATGGAGCTGGGAGGTGGTGAACCACTGTCCTACTCAGCCAACAAGGGACCTCAATCACACCTCAGCCTCCTCTCTCCTCCACCAGTGTAGGTGCTGCCACATGGACACGGTAGGTCAGAGAGGTCTAGGTGCTCTGGGCATCATGGACTGGGGCTGAACACTTTTCAGGGGGCCCTTCTCCTCCTTCTGGGGTGCTTGGGCAATCCTGGCTTGTTGTGGGTCATTCCTGTGGCTGTCATGTCCCCATGGCAGCGGGGATGCAGCCAGCTCCCATGCCATGGGGCTGCTGCCAAGCTAGGTCCATCAGGACTGTGGCCAGTGCTGAACCCACTGTTTGTCTCCAGCCCCGGGCTCAGAGAAGGGTTTCTTGGGGCTAGAGTGGGAAGGGGAGGGCAGGGGTGTGGGGCAGGATGTGGGCTGGCAGCGGGGCTGGGATGGGAGGGGAAGAAGCTGGGGGCAGGGAGCTGCAGGCTCGGAGGAAGCGTGAGCAGCACTGCCCACCGAGGGACAGCTGCTGCGGGCTGGGCACGGTGCAGCTGCGGCACCAACATGGTAAGAACTGCTCCTTTCCTTGGGCATGACTGAGGGTCTGCCTACACAAGGGGATTAGCGGAGGGCAGGGCTGTGGGCAGGTACTGACAGGAACCACAGCTGGGGGCTGCGGGACACACGCAGGCTGCCCTGGGGACACTCTGCCTGAGCGACCCCAGGCTCACGGGACACTGCCAGGAACACAGGGCACAGTGACTGCAGAGGTAGATGCCAGCCCTGGCTGGGCAGGAAGGGGCTCCGGGGCACAGGACACCGTGTGTGCCTGCATGCCAGTGCCACGAGTGACTGCCCTTGTGTGAGCCAGGACTGCCTGGCAGTGGTGTGGGTGCACGTGTGAACCCCTTGGGATGTGCACGCTCATGTCTCCCTCTCTCTCAGGGCACTGCTGTGGGACTGCGATCTGCCAGGAGGACACGGACTCTGGGCTCTCCTGGCACCTCCCTGGGCATCGCTGCCATCACATGGGGTAAGCCACCCACCACCCACTCAGTAAGTCCAGTGTGACCCTGCTGCCAAGGAGTCTGCAGGTCTGAGAAACTGGAGAAATGTAGCATTGCTATTTTGGGGGCTCATCAGCCCATCCCCAGGGCTGGATCCCTCTGGGCTGGGAGGGGGCTGGCCCTGCCTGTGCCAGCCTCCAGGCAGACTGTGCTCCCCCAGGAAGGGCCAGGCCATGGCTGAGGTCCCCGCAGGATGTTTGGTTCCCCAAATGCAGCATGGCAGCTGGTACTGTGAACTGTACTATGATCTGGGGAAAGGCAGGGCAGCTCTAACTACCGCCTACACCCATGCTCATGCTGGGGAGTTGGGCATGGATGGAGTCACAGGACCCCATGGGTGTAAGGGTTCATAGCACAGCTGGGGCAGCACCACACAGAATTAGAGCTGCTAATTGACATCAGGAGTACAGAAACTAACTTGGTTTTGCTGCCTGTAGGGTATTTCCTTCACATGCTGGCATTGCACAGAGCAAAACCTACTGGTGCCTGCTCTGTCCCTGGAAATCCTCTGTGAGCTGAATTATTTTCCTAAGAACCTTAGTGACTGAGCTAAGGAACAGAAATGAGGCAAGTGCAGTGTCAGGAGGAGGCTGAGATTTGGCTCTGAGAGAAAACAAAAAGGCAAAGGCACCTCAACAGTGGAGGGTGTTGAGCACCACCCTAGGAAGAGGTATCAGGGCTTCCACAGGAGCAAGAGGTCAAACGACAGGAAAACAGCACTCATTTGGGCACCAGGTGGGGCAGGGAGAAGTAGCATAACACCGGGGAGATGAACTGTGCCATAGAGAGGGTGTAATGCTCTCCTACCTCTTTCCTCCTCCTCCTGGTGGAGCTGGAGGAAAGAGGTAGGAGAGCATGTGGAGGACAGACCTGGAGCAGATGTCAAACTTTGGTCCTTCTCAGTTTGGGGATGGGCTGTGTGAGGGTAGCAGGCAGCTGCCTTGAGCCATGCTGGGGAGTAGCAGGGGCCAGGAAGAGGTTGGTGGGAGCTGAGGATGGGGCAGGCTCCCAGAAGGTGCCTTGAGTTCCTGTCCTGCAGGCCCAAATTCCCAAAAGGTAAAGAGGGAACCACATTTTCCCCAGCTTCAGTTCTGTTGAACAAAGAGGATAGTTTGCTCTTTCACAAGAAAAACCAGACAAATTATGGGAAATTACCTACAAAAATGTATAACAATGGACCAAAGTACAGCCCTAATTAGACTTTAGAAGACGTGTATTTGCATCTCATCTGCAATGCCTGGATCTTTGCACAACTGCAGTGTGATAAAATGCTCTCCTGAGATACAGTGTGAGCTAGGCTGGTTGTTTGGAGCAAACTTTGATCCTCATCTCCCTTTCTGCACATATGGAGATATGATATCCCCACATCACTTTCTGCAGTTGTGGAGATAGCTGCTCCTGGGGAGAATGGAGGAAGCTTCTTTCTGTGGCTAAAACCCTTTGATTGCATAAAGTTGCGGTGTGAAATGCTGTAAATAAGAGCAGGGTTTCAGCTAAGTGCCCTTCATTTCTGGGTGTGGGTTCCAGTTACTTTCTGGCTTTGCCCTGCCTGCTGGGTATGACCATAATATGAGCTTGTTTTTGAAAGACCTTGTTTTGCAACACTGAGTTTTACAAGACTCTAGACCATCTCTGTCTCAGATGAGCAGGTTGGGGTCCAAATGTTTTTGAGGGTGAGGGCATATTTGCTCCTCTGCCTTGCTCCAATCTGGGTCTCATGTAGCAGGGTAAAGCAAGAAAACTGAAGTATACACATCTGCACTCAAGGAAGGAACTGTCTTTATGGAACCATCTTGAAGCGGGACTTTCCTCTTTGGGAAGCTTTTGTGGGCAGGGGAACAGGGCCATGGGGCTGAGCTTTCAATCCTTATGTTGGAGGAGGGTTGGCATCACTGCTTGGGGCTCCTCTGCCTCCTGTGCTCTGCCTGCCTCATCCCGTGCTGCCCCATTTCAGGCTTCACCCTGTCACCTCCAATTTCCTCATCCCTGTGCCATCCTCCTCTGTCCTCATCTCCTTCTGCCACGTCTTTATGTACCCATGGAGTCCCATTCTCATCCACAGTCACCCCTTCATCCAATCCTTTCACCCAGCCTGTCCCTGGCATCTCTTGGCCATGATGTCAGGCTTAGCCCACCCTCATGTCCCAAGGGATCCCACCCCTGACCCAGCTCCCATCCTTTCTGCACCAATCCTAGACCTCATCCTCTTTCCCAGGCATGGTGCTGTGGATGGAGGTGGGTGCCTGGACCTACCACTACAGTGACCAAGGGGACTACACGTGGGAGCAGGCCAGGAATTTCTGCCAGACCTTCTTTACCGACCTGGTGGCAATCCAGAACCAGCAGGAGATCGAGTACCTCAACAAGAGCCTGCCCTTCCACGGGCGCTACTACTGGATTGGCTTACGCAAGCTCGGCGGCATCTGGACCTGGGTGGGCACCGGGAAGGTGCTGTCCAAGGAGGCAGAGAACTGGGCACTGGGGGAGCCCAACAACCGCCGCTCCAACCAGGACTGCGTGGAGATCTACATCCAGCGGCCGCAGCAGGCCGGCAAGTGGAATGACGAGCCCTGCAACCGGAAGAAGAAGGCGCTGTGCTACCAGGGTGAGCAGGGGGACTGCGGACTGGAGCTGGATTGGGTGGGCTGGGAACCTTGGCAGGGTGGTCAGCAGCTCGTAATGACCATCCCCTGTGTGTGCAGCCTCCTGCCAGCCCTTCCTGTGCAGCCAGCGTGGCGAGTGTGTGGAGACCATTGGGAGCTATCGCTGCGACTGCTACCCCGGCTTCCACGGCCCTGAGTGCACAGATGGTGAGACATCCATCCCCACCCCTCCTTCCCTGCTGGAGAGTCCAAACCCTGGTGACAAAGCAGGGTTCTGGTGCTCCTGATGGGCTGTGGCACCGTGTCTCTCCCAGTTGTGCAGTGTGCCAAGCTGGAGCCCAAGGGAGTGCCCATGAACTGCAGCCATCCCTACGGAGACTTCAGCTACAACTCCACCTGTGAGTTTGGGTGCCACGAGGGATTTGAGCGGCGAGGGGTGGGCATGCTGCGGTGCCTGCCTTCCCAGGAGTGGTCAGCAAACATCCCCACCTGCACAGGTAGGGCCTGGCAGGGGTTGGGGGGTCTCAGGGATGCAGCATTGATGCTTTGGGGGAGCCAGCCCCATGTGCCCAATGCTCTTCAGACAACTGTTGCTGCGCCCTTACCGATTGTGGAAGCATCTCCTGGTGCTGCATCATGGGGTGGGATTCCCTGAGGAGGCTGCAATGGGCAGAGCAGCTGTGAGCTGTGAGGCCCTGTTCTGCCTGGCTGTCCCAGTGCCCATGTTTGCTGCCCTGAATCCCACTCAGATATCAGCACCCTGTGTACACCAAGTGTGGGGTCAGGATGGTGTCCTGGCTCCTCTGTCAACTCTGTGGCAGTGTCCCTCTCCCCTAGCCCACCTGATCTGCCTTGGGAAGGCATTTGGCATCTTGGGAAAGAGAAAAGAGGGGCTGCTGTCCCACAGCCAGGGGAAGGGTATATCCTGGCAGGGGTAGGCCACCTTGAACAGGGATAAGGACTCATGAAATGAGGTTAGATTTAAGCTGGGTGGGACAGAGTGTGGCAGGAAACCACAAAGGAGAGAAAGCTGTGATATGTTATTCTGCAGGGGCAGAGAAAGTCTTCCTGTCAGTGGCTTGAGGGTTTGCAGCCAGGCACCAGGCATCCCAGAGAACTGCCAGGCTTTTTTGGGGGTGCAAGAGTCTTGCTCCACCTTTCTTGTGCTGCTGTGTGGTACACCTACAGCCTTGCACAAGGATGGGGTGAATCAAGCAGACATGGGACACAACTGGGACTGGGAAGGAATGGGACTGGGAAACATCTTTGTATATATATTCTTTTTAAAAGAAACCTGCCTTGAAGTTAGTTCTGCTGCTGCTGTCTGTGCTAGTTGGGCCTGTGGTCCAACCCAGGACCTTAGGTAGCTGAGAAAAAGCAAAACTGTCCGCAGCTAAGGGGAACAGGCATGGAGATGTGATGTGACTGTTCTGTAACCAGTATCCCCAGCAGGGTCAAGGGCAGGAGATGGCTCCCAATTTTGCAAAAATCCCCACCAACAAGCTGGGCTGAGCCTGTGTGCTCCAGGCCTTTTAGGCTCCTAGGGGCTTGCTTTCCCAGCTTGTTTTTTTCCTGCTGGCTGTAATATGATTGATTTTTTGTTTTATTGCAAACAATCAGATGAGTCAGTTGGTTGCCTGTGCTGGTAACAAAATGATGTTAGCAAGCATTGCCAGCTGGGCTTACTCCAGAAACGAGCAGAGCAAGGCTGGTGGTGCAGCAAGGATTGTCTGTCCTGCCTCAAACTCTGCCCCATGCTCGCCTGCAGTCATTGTGTGCCCATTGCTGGCTGGCCCCCAAAGGGGATGGGTCAGCTGCTCCCACCTGCACAGCATGTTCACCAACAGGCACCTCTGGGGACTGGGAAACCAGAATTGCCTGTAAAATAGCTACAAAAGGAAAAGTCTACCCAGGAAAGTGCTTGGTGTCAGTTTGAAAGCAGAAGATGCAGTGAATGCAGTCTGTCTCAGCTGGGCTGGGTGGTGGTATATGCCCTGCTGGCACCGACCTTTGGGGCTCCCACAGGCAGCAGAGCCACTCACCCCAGAAAACTTTGGGTATCACCCTGGCATGCAGCAAAACACACCCTGGGAACAGGCAGGGGAGGCTGGTATACAACCTCTTTAGCCATGGCAGTGCTTTACAGTCCCAAAGCCATCCTCCTGTCACTGTGAGAAGGACAGAGGCTGGTCTCTGCTCCAGTAAAGGGAGGGAGATGAATGGGACTGCAGCAGCTGTGGTCCTTCCTCCCAGGGGCTTTGGCCCAGGGTAGTGAAAGGGATAAACAGGGCTCTGGCAGAGCAGCAACTGTGTCCCCCTGAGGAAATCACTTGTAGGGCAGAAAAATCATTGCACCAACTACAGTTTCAAAGAGGTGAGTGTGGGTAAGATTTGATTTGGATTCAGCCTGAATTATTAGATTTAACCTCATCTATCCCATCTCTGAGCTCTGCTCTCCATTGCAGCTGTCACCTGCCCGGTGCTCAGAGCTCCAGAAAATGGAGAGCTGAACTGCTTCCACCTCCATGGGGACTTCACCTTTGGCTCCACGTGTGCCTTCTCCTGCCAGAAGGGGTTTGTGCTGAAGGGGCCGGAGAGCCGTGAGTGCACAGCCATGGGGATCTGGACAGGGGATGCAACAAGATGTGAAGGTAGAGCTGCGGCTGGAGTGCCAGCTGTCACTAGCCTTGGGGTGACACTGTGGTGTTCCCCAGCTCCTTGGTCCCAGAATTTTAGTCTCCCAGTTCCCAAGCTGCTGCTTGATGTGTACCTCTTCACTCTGCAGCCTTTGCCTGCCCAGTGCTCAGTGCTCCAGACCAAGGAGAGATTCACTGCTCCCACCTCCATGGCAACTTCACCTATGGATCCACGTGTGCCTTCTCCTGCCGGACAGGATTTGCCTTGGTGGGGGTGCAGAGCCGAGAGTGCACAGCCTTGGGGACCTGGACTGGGAACACACCACACTGTGAAGGTATTGCTGCTACTCACAGGCCTCTGGTTCACCCTGGAATGTTCTCCAGTGTCCTGGTCCTTTCTTTCCAACAGTTTAGCCTTGTAGTCCTCAGACTCCCGCTCAAAGTGCTTCTCCACCCCTGCAGCTGTTACCTGTCCAGTGCTCAGAGCTCCAGAAAAGGGAGAGCTGAACTGCTCCCACGTCCATGGGGACTTCACCTTTGGCTCCGCGTGTGCCTTCTCCTGCCAGACAGGGTTTGTGCTGAAGGGGCCGGAGAGCCGTGAATGCACAGCCACAGGGATCTGGACAGGGGATGCAACAAGATGTGAAGGTAGAGCTGCTGCTGGAGCTCAGGGTGTCACTGGCCATGGGATGACACTAGGGTTTCCCCAGTCTCCCAGACCAAACAGTTTAGCCTTGTAGTTCCCAGATTCCTCCTTGAACTGTTTCTATGTCCTTGCAGCAATTGCCTGTCCACTGCTCAGTGCTCCAGAAAAAGGAGAGATGCACTGCTCCCACCTCCATGGCAACTTCACCTTTAGCTCCACGTGTGCCTTCTCCTGCCAGAAGGGGTTTGTGCTGAAGGGGGCGGGGAGCCGTGAGTGCACAGCCACGGGGATCTGGACTGGGGCCACCCCACACTGTGAAGGTAGAGCTGCTGCTAGAGCTCAGGGTGTCACTGGCCGTGGGGTGACACTAGGGTTCTCCTGAAGCTTCTCAGGATGAACAGTTTAGACTTGTAGTCCTCAGACTCCTGCTCAAACTGCTTCTCCACCCCTACAGCCGTTACCTGTCCAGTGCTCAGAGCTCCAGAAAAGGGAGAGCTGAACTGCTCCCACATCCATGGGAACTTCACCTTTGGCTCCTCATGTGCCTTCTCCTGCCAGAAGGGGTTTGTGCTGATGGGGCCAGAGAGCCGTGAATGCACAGCCATGGGGATCTGGACAGGGGATGCAACAAGATGTGAAGGTAGAGCTGCTGCTCAAGGTGTCACTGGCCTTGGGCAGACCCTGGGATATTCTCTTTTTAGTTCTCTCATCACAAGAATTCAGCCTCATAGTCCCCAAGCTGCTGCCTGAAGAGTGCTTTTTTGCCCTGCAGCAATTGCCTGCCCAGTGCTCAGTGCTCCAGACCAGGGAGAGATGCACTGCTCCCACCTCCATGGCAACTTCTCCTATGGATCCATGTGTGCCTTCTCCTGCCAGACAGGATTTGCCTTGGTGGGGGTGCAGAGCCGAGAGTGCACAGCCTTGGGGACCTGGACTGGGAACACACCACACTGTGAAGGTATTGCTGCTGCTCAAGGTGTCACAGGCCTTGTGTTGAGCAAGGGATCTAGAGGACCCTCTTGGTCCTGTTCTTTCAACAGTCTAGCCTTGTAGTACCCACATTTCAGCTTGAAAATGTTTCTCTGTTCTTGCAGCTGTCACCTGCCCAGTGCTCAGAGCTCCAGAAAAGGGAGAGTTGAACTGCTCCCACCTCCATGGGGACTTCACCTTTGGCTCCACGTGTGCCTTCTCCTGCCAGACAGGGTTTGTGCTGATGGGGTCAGACAGTCGCAAGTGCACAGCCACGGGGACCTGGACAGGGGATGCCCCACTCTGTGAAGGTAGAGCTTCTGCCACAGCTCAGGGTGTCACTGGCCGTGGGGTGACACTATGATGTGTCCCCAGCCCCTTGGTCCCAGCAGTGTAGTCTCCCAGGCTCCTTTCTGAGCTGTGCCTCTTTACCCTTGCAGCCATCAAATGCTCAGCACTGACCACCCCCAAGATGGGCCGGGCTGCCTGCTTCCATATCCATGGGGACTTCACCTTTGGCTCCACGTGTACCTTCTCCTGCCAGAAGGGGTTTGTGCTGAAGGGGCCGGAGAGCCGTGAGTGCACAGCCCTGGGGACCTGGACTGGGGACCCCACACATTGCAAAGGTAAATCCTGTGATCTCACATATATCTGTTGTAGCAGAGTATTCTCCCCAGCACCCTGGCCTATGTCAGTTTATCCCCTGGCTTGCCAGTCCACATAACCCCATCTCATTGACATCAGTCCTGTCCTCCTGATGCTCCTGCTATGCTTTATCTGCAGCCATCAGCTGCCCAGTGCTGTCCTCCCCCAGCAGAGGCCAGCTGACCTGCTCTCATGTGCATGGGAACTTCACCTACAACTCCACGTGCATCTTTTCCTGTGAGGAGGGGTTTGTTCGGATGGGAGCAGAGATGCTCCACTGTGAGGCCACGGGGAACTGGACCAGGGATCCCCCTGTCTGTGCAGGTACCCCAGCTCCTCTAGCATGTGGAGGTTCCAGCTTTCCTCCAAGGACATCTTGATTGTGGTGGAGAGAGACTCCCCAGGGACTGCGAAGTGCCGACAACTTTCTAACACGTGGCTCTGTGGCTTTGTTTCAGAGGATGGTGCCTTCCTAAAGCAAGTCCTGGCTTACAGCAGTGGCTCAGCCCTGGCAGTAGCTGGTCTTGTGCTCTCTGGGGGACTCATTGCCCTCCTTGCCAAGAGGCTCAGTGACAGAGGTACAGAAATGCTTCCTGCAGCCCACCCTAGCTTTGGCCAGGGGCTCTCAGGCAAGGTGGTGACAGTCCCAGGGGAGGCTGGGGTGATCAGAAGTGTTTAACAGTGTGACTGCCTCCATTCACACGTTTTATTTGCTGAGTTGCTTGGGTCCTTGGCAGTTGGTCCAGCTAAAAATGTCAGCAGCCAGGTTTGGAGGGCAGAGCCAGATAAATATCATCAGTCTGAAGAAGGCAGCAAATGCTTGTTAAGGCAGCCCCACCTCATGCCTGTTCAACTCTGCTCAATTTCAGATGCTGCTGCTGCAGCTTCTTGTGACCTTCACTAAACAGATCTGGTTATTTCTTTTCTATGTGCTTTATGCCCATGGACATTTCAACACTGTTATCAGAGGAGAAGAGGAAGCTCCTGAAACCCACCAGGTGAGAGCTATGCTCTGCAGGAGGGTGGCTCTGCCCTGTGACTGTCACAGCCCTATGTTCACCCTCCTGACAACCAGATCTGCCTGTGTGAGGCTGTTTTTTTACGGGAGCATCTCTGGGGCTGACAGGGCTATGCTAACTCCTGGCCTTCACACACTCCTGCATTCCCCAAGGTGACATCCTTGTGTTTGCCTTCCAGTGACCTGGGAGCGCCGGGCACCTTCACCAACTCAGCATATGATGCCAATCTGTGAGGTGGGGCCAGGCAAGACCCTTGCAGCACCCTGTTCAAAACTCACCTGGGTGGCCATCTTCCTGGCTGGGGTGCTCCTGGGTGGGGACACCCCTTGGGACTGGAGTGGGTAACACCAGCTTCATGTCTCCTGTGCTTCCAGCCCGCCTGAGACTGAAACCTACTGTGTCCCCCAGGGCTGCAGGCCCAGCAGGAGCTGCTGTGGGAGCACAGAGGGACTCCATGCCTGTGGTTGTATGTGGTTGTAGCCTGGACCAGAGCTGCCCCTGGACACTGCCACCATGCTGTGTGTGCTGCATTTTCCTTAGAAGGGGAGCTGCCTCCAGTGCAGGCAGCTGGAGACCCACCAGGGGCCAAGAGCCATGTGCTGAGGGCAGCCTGCCACCCAGACCTTGGACATTCTCTCACCAGGAATTTGGACATTCCCCAATAGCTGCTCCACTCACGCTTCTACCAATGAGCTTGTGTCAGTGGGGTCTGAATAAATACCTTTGTCTAACTAATGCCTCCTGTGTGCCTGGCATGGGGAGAAGTTTTCATTAAATAATGTGGCCAACACAGCTAGGGAAGTGATTCTTCCCCTGGACTTGGCACTGGTGAGGCCACTTCTGGGGTGCTGTGCCTGGTTCAGGGCCCCTCAGTTTAGGAAGGATGTTGAAGTGCTGGAGCATGTCCAGAGAAGGTTACGAGGCTGATGAAGGGTTTGGAGCACAAGTCTGATGAGGAGTGGCTGAAGGAGCTGGGGTTGTTTGGCCTGGAGAAAAGGAGGCTCAGGGGTAACCTTATCACTGCCTGAAAGGAGATTGTAACCAGGTGGGGTTTGGCCTCTTCTCCCACGTTATTTTTGAGAGGACAAGAAGACACAGCCTTAAGCTGCGCCAGGGGAGGTTCAGGTTGGACATTCATAGGAATTTCTACACAGAAAGGGTGGCTGGACGCTGGAATGGGCTGCCCTGGGAGGTGGTGGAGTCACCGCCCCCGGAAGTGTTTAAGGACTGGACAGGGCCCCCAGTGCCATGGTCTGGGTGACAAGGGGGTGTCGGGTCATGGACTGGTTTCGCTGATCTCAGAGGTCTTTCCCAACCGAGCTGAGGCTGTGATTCTCTGCGGAGCTCGGAGCACGCAGAGCGGCCGTGCGACCCCGTGCTGCCTCCGCCCGCCCGCCGAGTGTCCGCCGGCGGCCGCCGTGGCGGGCGGGACCGGCACGGCCCTGCCGGAAGCAGACGTGTGTTTCGGGAGGAACGGGAAGCGATGGCGGCGGCCGAGGCCGAGTGGGAGCCGGCGGGGCTGCTGCCCGCCCCGGGGGGCGGCCTGGATTGGGGTGAGCGTGGCTTCGCGGGGCCGGCGCCGGGCCGGGCCGGCGCGGAGCTCCCCGGCGGGGCCGGGACGGCGCTGACCCCTTTTCTCTCTGCAGAGGCTGTGCTGGGCGAGGAGCTGAGCGAGCTGCTGGGCGCCGCGGCCCCGAAGGACGAGCCCGACGTGAGTACCGGGGATGGCGGGGGCCGAGTCCGCGCTCTGCCGGCGGTGAGAGCCCCGGTACCCGGCTCGGGGGGCCTCGGAGCAGCCTGGCAGGGGAGCGTGGCCGCCCGGCCTGCGCCCCGCGTCAGCGCTGGAGATAGCGATGGCTGAAGCACTGCGGGCACGGCTGCGGAGCGGAGCGGAGGGTGCCAGGCAGGGGGGTTAGGGTAAGGGTGCGAGGTGCCGGCGAGGAGGAGTGGCGGTGTCACTGCCCCGGTGAAGGTGAACCCTGCAGGGCAGTGCTGGGGGGGGCGCTGGCTCGGGGCTACCTGGGAGAACGGTGGGTATGTTACACCTACACCCACCCGGGTTATTCTTTATCCCTTTGCCTATTAGATTACTTCTTGTTTTTATCTTTAATGTAGGATTTTCTCAAAAAAAACCCTTTGCTTGCAACCTTCTGCATTAATCCCTGTCGTTTTCACTGCCCACTTGTCCATACTGCTTTTTCTCTCCCGGGGCATTCACCTGGTGGATTCTCCTCTCCGTGTTCTTCCCCTGCCATGTCTCCATGTCTCTGCTCACTGTGTCCCAGTCCACCTCCAGCACAAGCCTGGGTTATCATCTCATGTAAACCCCAGATTCTAAGAGCATTCCTACACGTGTAGAACCAGTCACTGGAGAAAATGTGGGAACAGACTGATTGCACAGGGAAAGGTATTCCCCATCAGCAGGTCAGCATTACTTGCCTGGGTGAGGGCTCTTAATGCCCAGCTCACATTGCGGTTTTTTGGTCATTCTTCCTTTTAATGTGCTCTGATGAGCTTTCTTTTCATTCTAACTTGCAAATACCATTATCTATGCAGTTTGCAGGCTTTTTGAGCCTCCCTTCACAGAGCAAGTTGAGAGTACAAGGGAAGGTATAATTGCAGCATGGTTTTCAGGAAAATCTTTGTTGTATATTTGTATAAGCTGAGTAGGTCATGTCTCTATTTTTCATGCAAGTGCTTATAAAGGGCCACATTTGCATAGGAAACTGAGACTTACAAATGTACAAGCATAATAAATGGAGAAAAATTCCAATTGTTGTTTTAAAGGGCATATGATAAATAATATGTATGGAGTGATTTTAGCCTGTTTGTTCTGATTTTTGTTGGAAAAGGAAACTGGTGTCCTTGGCTTTAGATGTTGACATTGGTGTATTCAATTATAAGGAGACCTAACACATACCATTAATCAGGTCTTGGGCAAATCAGTCTTGTGTCTGTTTTCCTGCTGGTAAACTGCCTCTGGTGCTGCTTTTGTTTGTAAAGTGCTTTGAGATGTAATGATGGAAAAGCATTATGAAATAAATTTTTCAAGGCAGATGAAGGAGAGGATGGCACCAGGTTCCTAAGACTTGTGTTTTTTGTGAGATGGTTCAATGAACTTAGAACTTTTGCTATACAAATTACAAAGAAGAGTACGATAATTAGTGATAATCTTAAACTGACCTGCCCCTTCCTACTGGTGTAAGTTTAAAAGAAGCCTTGTTTTGTGTATTTCAGTTGAGAATTTCTCCTTTAAGGACTTTATTCTCTGCATACCTTAAGGCACCTGAAGTGATTGATAGTTATGCTGTTTGTTTAGTTTTCTGGAGCTGTAGGAATGTGAACATAATGGCTGATGGTGTCAATGCATCTTTCTTTTTGTCTTGTCTCTTTTTCTGAACTGTCATTTCAGGAAAATGATCTTTATAACTTTCATTTTGATTTGGATTTGATGTCTTGGGACTCGGACCTTTGGAATATTACAGGCCATGCTTATGCAGGTAATTAACCTCCTATATTTTGCAGATGTTGCTCTTCCCCTCCTGCCCCACAAGGGTGAGCTCTTAAAACTCATGTGGAACTGTTTGATGCCCTGCAGCCTTTTCTCTGTGATGGGAGATAGGCTGTGTTTCTGTAGGAGATGGGTACAGCTGGCAAGGGCTGTCCTACGAGCCAAGTTGTTTAATACCTTTAATCTCCTTACATTTTCTGCCTTGCTTTGGAAATTAAATATCTGGTGTAGGACAGTGTGTTCTTTACTTTTCCCATTGCTACAAACTTGTGCAGTGAAATGTCTTTACCTGCCTCTTGCAGATGCAAACGTGAAGACAGAACCTTTATCACCAGCCACTTCCAGCTGTTCGGTCCCTTCACCACCGGCTGTGGACTCTCCAGTGCAGAATGTGCCTGTATGCAAAACCCCCCATGTAACACAGACAGCAACAGCTCTGACAAACCAAAAGCCCTGGGATTAACTCCTCTGACCTAATTCATGGCATAAGAGAAAACAGCTTATTTTCCCAACCCTTGCAAAAACCTGTCAGTGGTGTTTTCTTATCTCTTCTCTGTGACCCATTCAAATAAGAACATGTTCGGCTCTCTTTCCTCATCTATGTTCAGTAGCCTTGTTGCCAAACAAAATGCCTTCTAAAGGCTTCTGGGTCTAGCAGGGTTGGCCTCTGCCTCCCATTACTCTGCTGATGGGGAGAAGTACTTGTTGGTTTTTTTAGGGGTACTTGGCATTAGCCAGAATCAAATTGCAGAGTAAAACTTTTGTCCTGTTGGCTGCAGCAGCAACACAGATGTGATGAGAAGCAGATATACTCTGAAGTGCTGGTAGATACTGCTCTGAGTTTCTGAAGTGTTAACCTCCTGTGCTTTCTGTCTGCAGGATGATGTGGACTTCAGCTGTAGCTCCCAGATGTCTCCCATCTCTCTCTACAGCAAGAGCTGCGGAAGCCCTGCATCCCCTGAAGGAGATGGAGGGAAGAAGCCTGCTGTGAGCATCTCTTCTCGATCTGGTATGAGAGAAAGAGTTACTTTCATGCTATTGATAATATGTGTGTTGTCTTGCATGCAAATTAATTAACTAACAATTAACTAACAGACACTAGAGTCCTATCATTTATGACTTAGGTATTTGATCAGGTGTGTTTATTTTCAACAAATATTATAGATGGATAAAAAACCCCACATTAAAAGCTACTTCATTATAGCTTTAAATATGTATTTTATGCCTCTTGGTCCAGTTCTGACTCTTTTTCCTTTTCTAGCAAATAATTCTGCAAGGAGCCTGAAGAAGTGTGGTCAGACAGTGTCCAGGCCTTTGATACAACCCAAACCCCTTTTGCCTGCTGTGCCTGAAGCTCAGGCTAACATTGGCATCCCAGCTAAAACCATCATTATTCAGACTCTTCCCACACTTGTGCCACTGCCAAAGAATCAGCCTGTTGTTAACATCCAGCCAGCACCTCCTAAAGGTAGGTGAATTGTCTTGACTGAGCCAGGTCTTGGTGGTAACATTGTCTGTTTGTGTTGGCTGATAGAATGAAGTTAGGTTTGGTGTATGAAAGAGGAGGAATAGGAGAAAAAAGGGTCCTACATGCATTGCTGGAAAAGCTTTAGGCTGAGAAGATGGCCTTACTCCTCTCATCCTGTCCTGTGAGAAACAGCACTGTGTAAAATGGAAGACTGGATTATATAATTCCATTATTTGGATTGGAAGGCAGAGGCTGTGCTGAACACTGGCAGCTGAGGAGATAAAACTGCTGATTTGGAAGGATCTGTAGGGATGCTTTGCTCTGCTCTGCTTGCAATGTCAGGTGGTGCATAAGGTGATTACAGTGCTGTTCTTGTCATAACTGAAGGAAGATCCAGTAGAATCAGTTAGGATGACTTGAAGGAAGCTGGAAAGCTTGGGGGAAGTGATATAAGCATTTTTTACCCACATGAAACTCTTCCACAGGATGGAGGGAGCATGGGTTTATGGCTTTTTAGCTCACTAAAACGTCATTAAATAGAATGTTGTGAAATCTGCTAAAAATTGAGAGCTGTGTCAGAGGTTAGAAAAGTTGATGATGTTAACAAGAGGAAAGTGACTTCCTGCCCCGTGATAATTCTTCTTTGCTTCAGTTACCCTGATATTGGTTTTTGAAGTAGCTCGAGCTTTCATTTCTGGATCTACCTCTCCAGGCAGGGCAGGAGGGACCCTGCTTGCCTTGCAGCACTTGCCAGCTGCAGTTGCTCGTTTCACCAGCTGATGGCCATAGTCTCTTGCAGTTGATTGCACGGGTGCTGAGGCACGGAAGGAGGAAAAGGAGACAAATTCTTATGGGCATGTATCTAGAAATTATTGCAATTGGGAAAAATTTGTCTCCATTACTGATTTCTCTTCCGTCAGGGGTTCAGCCAAATCTGGAGATGCTGACATTTGTTGTAACATGCCTAAGATTGCTAGACTGCTTAAAACACAGGTCAGCATTGTCAACGTGACCTAATTCTTATTCCTTCTGATGTTCCAACTGATAAAATACCATCTGGAATAAGGAATGCTGGGGATGTGGATTTCTTTGGATATAAGTCTAATATTCTGAAGATCAGCTTCTCCTTTTCCCTGAAAAAAAGTCAGGACAGTAGTTTCTGTGAGACAGTATAGAGGAAATACTTTTGACAAAGTATGTCCATGCTTTCCTTTAACTGATGGCATGTTTAAAATTTCTCTTGTGGAGCTTCCATAATAAAAACCATAAGGATCTTTTTTCATCTGTCTAAATCCCCTGCATATGACAAGTTGGAAATGCCAGTTTGAAATATGCCATTATCTTAAAAGAAGCATGAGAAATTTTATTTTCACAGCTCCTTTTATAAACGCTTAAAGGAGAAAGCATGGTCTTAGAGCATCGTCTCTTTTATACATAAAAAAAGAATTGAAATCATCTCAAATTCATCATTTAAGATTCTTAAACAGGGTTGTACTAAGTTAGGATGTCTTTGAGATTGTGCCTGCAAAAAAAAAAAAGGTCTAGTTTAACCCCATACATAAGATCTTGGCACTAGGTAAATTACTTCACTTTTCACCTTCCAGAAGGCTGGGTAAGTGCTGTAATCCATTGTCGAGCATTTTGGTTGGAATGCTCAGCTGGAATGTGCTCTTTCTGAAAGCTGGCGAGGTCATCCTGTTACAAAGGATTAGAGAGACATTAATGTGTTTTCAGACAGCAAAATATTACTCAAGCACCTGCTTGAGTTAAATGTAGTTGTTGGACTGAAATTTCTTGGAAGTGACTGTTTTTAATTCCATTTCAAACTGTCAAAATTACCTCATTTTTTCTGCTGGCTTTTCTTTAAGCTCAATTCAGCTTGTGTATAAACTTTCTTGCGTAAGACATTTTTCTAAAAAAATTGTCTTAGTGTGAATTGAAGCTTCAGCATAAGTTTTGAAAGTGTAACTTTCATTGCTCTTTTTTGTTCATCTTCCATCTCTGCTAGATTGAATTGATCTGTGTGGCTTGAGTCATTTCTGTGTTGTAAGTTTTCCATTGAATACAGCAATAAAGTACTTATGGACAAAAGGGAGAAGAAGGATTGAGGAAAGTTGGCTAAATTCTGTGAAAAGGTTGTTCAGAGTGCTTCAAGTATTAGCAATACTGAGTAATGTATATAACAAGTGTTGAATTTTATTAACTTTGAAGAGCTTTTGAGACAGAGCTTGGTTTATTGGATTTCTTTAATGTCTGTAGTTTTGGTTTGCAAGATGGATTAAGAGTCTTGTAAACTTTGGAACAACTTCCTTCCATTCCTGTTCTGTGCAATATACTAATGGCTTTGAGATCAGCTGTGCAGGGCAGGAGAGGATAGCAGTATGCCCCTGCAAACTGGTGATGTATAAATCCATTTCATCCATGCTGAGCACTGCTGTTCTTGTGTTCCAGGTCCATCTGTGGTGCTACCCCAGCCTGCTGTGGTACAGCTCCAGGCTTCTGGGGTGCTTCCTGCCTCCCAGCCAGTCATTGCAGTCACTGGAGGGGCCCCAGCACTTCAGAACCACACGGTGAAGGCTCTATCTCCAGCTGCTGGGAACGGCTCCAGCAGCGGCAAAATCCCGGTGACAAAGCCCTTGCTCCCAAGCAGCTCCCCGGCCATGGGGCTGGATGTAAGTTCTGACTCTGATAGCTGCTAACCAAGGCTTGTACACCTCTTGTAGTTACCTGCATGTGGGACCTAATGGTCCCTTCAGAGTCTCAGGAAAACTCTCAGTAGGATTTCCAACTGTAAGCAGGGAATTCAGCAGCTTGGCGCAGAACAGGGAGGAGCAGCTAAATATCTGCTGACCTGCCTGGAGCTGCAGACCAAGTGTGCAATGTAGTGGCAGAAGACAGTGCTGATTGATGTTTTCTGTAACTTGTCTTCTCAAGTGCAAGTTCTCAGTGGCTGGACCTCTCTTACATACAGGAAAATTTGATAGATCTGATTTTTGGTTAGTGCTAAATCACTTTTCTAATCCATATAGCAAAAATGTTTCTTTGGAAGCAGGTGAATTGGAAATTTCAATGCCTCATTCTCTTTCCATACCCCTTTATCTCTGCAGATTTTACTAATAACTTTTAGAAACTTCAGTTACTGAGTTCCATATGATCCTAATCTCTTCAGGCTCCTTTTTGATCATCTATTGAATGAGTAGAAGAGGGTTAAATTCTCAACAATTGCAGTGTGAATAAGTAAGTTTTTCCGTAGTAGCTCACAGTAAGCAGTAGGTGTAAACTGTAGTTTTTGAGATGTATGTGGGCTTTTTGTCCCCTTCAGCTCTGACATCTTAACCAGCTAGCAAGCTGGGTGTTAACTTGATTTAGCTCCTAGTAACTTGGAACTGCTTTGATTGCATTTTGTTGTCCAAAGAAGACATGCTTGTGGAACGGACCAAAGCTTCTTGTTGATGACTTCAAAACTCTGTCATTCCCCAGTGGGGTATTCCAAGAACAGTTGTGAGCTGAGGGTCCTATCACATCTCAGTGTAAGGCAGAAAACACTGGTGAAAACACGTGGAATTTTGATGTATAGGCACTTGCTTATTATGATGTATAGGCACTTGCTTATTAGCAGTGCCTATACATCAGCAGATGTATAACAGCAGATCACTGTTTCCCAAAAGCAGTGGGAAGCCTGTTCCTTCAGCGTCTTTGGAGGGATGTTGCTGTATTTCCTGGTGTCTGGGATTGCCACTCAGGCCTGATGGTAACTTTTCCTCACTAATCATTTTTGTGTGTGGGCTGCATTTTGTAATGAAAATATTGTGCTACCAATAGTTTAGCAGCCAGCGTACAGTGGAAACTTGATATTCAAAGTGCAAGAAACAAAGGTCTATAGTAGGCAGAGCAGTTAAGTGTGCTGCATTTTTTAATGATAATTGCCCATCATGCAAAGTTAAGTCAAGAGACCACAAATCAATGACCTGCAGTCACTAGATTTGTGACTCCCTGTAAGCAGGGCTAGCATGGCACCTTGCCATTGTCTGAATGTAAGGTTTAATTGACAAAACCCCCTTATTGTCATCATATTCCATATACATATCCATATCCATGACATCAGGAGTCAAATGTGTAGCTGGGATACCAAACAGGTGTTGGTTTCCAAGGGTGGTTGTGTTGGTATTTCCACCCAAAGCCATTTTAGGGAAATAGTTTTAAGACTTGTAAAATGCTGTGCATCTTACCTGTGTTTGTTACAACATGAAAAAACAGTTGCAGCTGTTCTTTGGTACATACTGTGAAAAAGTGCTTTGAGGAGAAACAAATGTTTTGGGATTCAGCTTGGGCCAGCAGGGTTAAAATATCTCCCGATTGCCTTGGACACCATATGTGGCGCTCAGGGCTGCACAGAGGGAACTGTCATTTGAGCTCTGCAACACGTGTTATTGTTTCCTAATCTAAGCAAATGTTGCAAGATAAAAAGAAACACTGCAGGACTTTCTTTTGGGTTTAGGAGGGATAAACTGTTAGCTTAACATTCAGACGGCCAGTGGATTACACTGGGATGAGCTGATGGCTAGCTGTAGGTGTTAGGCCCCGTGTGTCCTGGTGGCACACGTGCAGCCCACCAGCCATGAAGGAAGTGCCAGAATACAGAAAATCTAGAAAAGATTAATTATGCAAAATTACTTCAACATAAGTGTGGATTTCTGTTTGAAGAATCCTCATTTCTGTGCTGTACATTGTGTAATATTTGTGTGACATAAACTCATTAAGCAAGTTGTGTTCTGTTGAGTTAGAGACAAAACCCAGAACTTCCATTAGAACAAAAAAACCTTGCATATGTCTTGTATTCCTGCAATCAAAGATGCATCTTCAAAGATAGTAACTTTCATAAGCTGAGGTAAGAAGCCAGCTAATGCTACATTGAATGGTTTGTACTTTCAGCTCTTTGTTAACTTTCCCAGCACATGTACAAAAACTCTCGGGAGTATGAGAGACATTCTTGCTTCTAGAAGTACAGCTTGTGTTGGAAGGGAGGTTAAATTTTGCTCATAACTGAGTTTTCTTTGGAAGTAAATTGAGGTAGTGGTGTTTATTTGTAAAGTGCGTGACTCTGTAAAACCTCTGAAGATAGAGGACAGTCTGAATCTGGTTAGTGCTCTTTGAAAGAAGGGTTCGCACTGAACCTGCCAGTTCTCCATATTTACAGCGTTTTTGTGTGTGTCTCTGCTAGTGGTGGTGTGGTTTTCAAAGCTAGAAAGCAGAAGTTGCATCACTAATTACTGATTGTTTTTAAGGCCAAGTTCTCCCTCTATGGTCTGTGTTTCCTTAGAACCTGGAGTTGCTATCTTGAGTGGAACATAATACGATACAGTTTTAAAAGTTGGAGGCTGTAAAAGAAGTTAGCAGAGCTGTTTGCTACCTTTAATCTTGCAAATGTGCAAAGCAATGTCGCTGAAGCAGACTGACATTATAAATTAGTTCCTTTCCCTCCTGAGTGTCAAAATGCTCGGGCAGGGGGCATATTTACCTTGGTGCTAGGCCAGCTGTGTGATGCTGATTACCATACTGCTTCCGGGTTCAGCATTCCTGTAGCACTTCACTCACACAGCTCTTTCCATTTCCTGCATTACATTTAGTTGGGATTGGGTGTGCAGTTGTGGCATATTCCCTGAGAAAAGCCAGGCAAGACCTGGAGGGATGACCAAGAAAGACCTTAAGCTGTTTAAGGATTGTATATTAAAACAAAATAACTTAGGGACACAAATACTGGATTTCATTTAAGCAGGGGTTAAAAATTAGTCAAAATGTAGTTGGTGAGGCATATACTGAAATGCAGCTACTGCACAGAGTACCTGGAATCAGGCTGGGGAGAGTTGCTGTTCCTCACAGCATTTGGACAACTCAAAGTAGAGCAATCTGGATAAGTGACACATAAAATGTAGATGGCAGTGTCTGAAACAGTGACAGATGTATGTTAGGATGTACTTTTAGTATAGAGCCACTGCACTGGTGCTCTAACACCTTATTTTCTTCAGGGAAGCATGTAGATTTGCCAAAGGTTCCAGACATGTAATTAAAAGCTGTCCAGTAATGAATAATCCTGAGCAGGTCTGCAAACAAGAATGGATGTAAACAATTTGGTCTTTTCTGAGTTCATAATGCAGAACGTCTTTTTTGAAAGGAGAATGTAACTCCTTGTTTGGAATAGCACACAACTTGAGCCAAAGCTGCTGCATGAACTCATGCCTTGTTTTTTTATCTCTGAACAGTTTAAGTGATCCTGGCCCCAGACTGGTGTGTTCTGTACACTGCAGTACTTGGCTAGCCTGAATCTTTTATTTTGGTCCAGTTTTTATATGTCTGCAGAAGCTTTTTTATGTTAAATGTTGTACTTAAAAAATTCAAGACAAAGCTTAGTGTTAATGAAAATATGTTAAAATCTTTTCCTTCTCCACTCCCTGCTAAAGAGAGAAACTGGAGTAAGTACAAACAGCTTCACTTTCACAGACTTTGGTTGGTGAAAGCAGGCTAGATATATGATAAATGATCTTTATAAAAAGCAATTAGACCAACATGGAGGCAACCCAGAACATTAATGCACTGTAACACATTTTCTTCATCTTTGTCACCAAACTGCAGCATCAAGAAGAATGGTTCTTCAAACAGCTTGTGGCCGCTTTTTGTTGAAGATGCCAGTGCCCTAGAACAGTATGTTGTCTGTGTGCAGGTAGATACAAGGAGAGAATTGAAAAGCTGTGGTTAAGGTTTTTTTACATAGCCGGACTCAAAATCTGAGTTAGTTAATGTTACTGTTCTGTGACAGATTATACTATTTCTCTAGAATAATACTTCTGGAATAGTTCTCATCTTTTTTCTTTAATGTTCCTGCTCTGGGAGATACAGATTACACCAGAGCCTTTGCTGGTAGATATTGAAGGATATTCAGGTCTATGTAAGATGGATCATTCAGTTATCTGTCAGTGTAATCGTCATGGAGGCACATCCCGTTGCAGCTTAAAAATGTGATGGAAGTCTTCTCTTCTTAATGAAAACACTGTTGCTAATCTGTGAGGGAAAGGAAATCAAACAATCTAGTGTTTAAACTTAGGATTTTAAGTAGTTTTGTATAGTTCTGCAGTATTCATCATTGTTATCCTTGTCGGCAGCAAGATGGTTTTGGTCTGGGTCGTCCCACTCAGTGCAAACCACAAAATGACTAAGTGGTCAAAGATGATGGAGTGTTCCTGCTTGGGAAAAAAATCAGTCATCAGGATTGTTGGAGGATGGGGAGGCGTTGCTTTGAGCTGTCCCAGTCTGGTCTTGCAGACTGAATGCCTGCTAGTGGTTAGAATGAATTATGTGCTCTCCTGGAGCATGTTTGCTGGTTGAGCTTCATCCCAAAGGAATCCAGTTCGTGTGCTCTCAGAGACTGTTCTGTGATGTAAAACGAAGCACTTTTAGTGAGACAGTCAGGAAATGTGAACCCAAGCCACACTCCTGATCTGAATTCAGATGTTAGTGTAGATGCACCCAGAGAATGCATTTAAACTGCCGTGTAAGTGCTTGATACACACGGAATATGCAATCTGAGATCAGCAACACTATTCAAAATTCCAAAAACTGTGTAGCATAGGTGGAAAAGGTACAGAAGCAGGTGTAATCAGTATGGAAATGGCTTCCGTACAGAACAGACTGAAAAACCCTAGAAATTTTCTGTTAGGAAGGCAGGTGACTGTAGCCTGATGTAGCAGATGATTGTAGCCTGTAAAATGGTGCAGGGAGAAGTCAAGGTAAAAGACTTGCAAATTCTTGCTGCCTTGCAGACCTGAAGATAAGCTCTTTTCTGTCTTGTGATGTGATTGATCAAATCAAACTTGAGTATATGTTTGATGACCCCTGCATATAGAATGTTGAGAATACAGAAGAAAACAGAGACAGTTCAGGATCTGTTTTTTTCCTTAGGTATACCGTGATCCTGAGGTGCCTCTCTGCTGACCATTCCAGCTCATTTGAAGCAGAGTATGGGAAGCTATTTGTGCAGACCTCTGACAAAGCAGAGAAGCAGAAATTCTGTGTGGAATGGAGACAGTTTTAACTTGTGGATTGTTAACAGCCTGTGTATTGTGTGTTCAGGTCAATGTCTTGAGGCGGCAGCAGCGCATGATTAAAAACCGTGAGTCAGCCTTTCAGTCACGCAAGAAAAAGAAGGAATACATGTTGGGACTGGAGGCCAGGCTGGAGGCAGCCCTGCTGGAGAATGAGAAACTCAAGAAAGAAAACAGCACGCTGAAGAGGCAGCTGGATGAAGTGGTACTAGAGGTAGGAGATTGTGATGAAAGTCTGATTTCATATGACAACAGTTGTTCAGCTGGAAGGCGCTACAACAGAGTTGGGGAAATACTGACTATAAGACCTTTGAGGGTTTCTAGCCCATGATTTTCACCAACTCTAGGTCAGGATAGCTGACACATTATCTGGTAGACTTTTCATTCTTTACTTCATGATGCTTCTGAATATTTCACTGGATAGAAGCTGATCATAATGTTCAAACCAAAGTTTTGTTTTTAAGTAGTTCAGGAATGTATTCACACATAATTAGGCAAGAATAAATCTAAAAATCAAGTATAATTTGGTGTATGTACTTGGCTTCTGACATACCCCTGCATATGTGCACCTCTCTTCTACTCAGTGTCTTCCGTTTTCTCTGTCTAGAACCAGAAGCTCAAAGTGTCATCTCCGAAGAGAAGGACACTCTGTGTGATGGTGATACTGGCCTTTATAATGTTGAATTATGGTCCATTGAGGTAAGCTGCTTAGAAATTCCTCTTTGCCTGGCAAGTTTACTGTCCTGAGATTTTTGTTTGAATCATTAATAATATCCAGTGTTGTGTTTTAAAGCCTTGAGCTTGAAATCTGAAATCTGTCGTTTCTTCTCCTCCTGCTTAGGGGAAGATGCATCTGTATAATGGTTCCTCTTTTGGAATCCTTCTGGCAATAAGGGCTGGATCTTTTACATCTCATTTCTCTTGGTTTGGCATTTTTTTATTCAGTGCCAGCATTCAGCAGTTTGTCTGCTCCATTTGTGCCTGTAGAGATTAAGAACTGTGTTTAGAATCCTTTTAGGAAAAAAAGTCAGACTTGGAGAGCTTATCTCTTGCTCATACCTGTGCTAATTTCAGTAGCTATGACTTGAAGCTGCTTTAGTACTCAAAATACTCAGGAAACCCTGCTGTATATTCCATGCCTTGCAGTCCTGACTCTTAAGATGTATCTAGCTCCCTCATTACAGAGTAAGCCCTTGTCTCCCAGGTCTGGTGAAGAAGTTGTTCCCTCTCCTTAATTAGTTGAAGTGGTAATCAGAAACTTCTCTTGTTTGAACTGTTATCAGTAGAGTGTAGAAGCCAGAGAACAGCAGGGAAAAGCTACATCACTTGCCGGACACTTTATAAAGAAATCTGTGGAAGAAAGAATAAAAAGAAATACTTCTTGCACATACCTGTCTATTTAACTTGCTTTGGAACATAAAGACCTTTTAGATTGAGCTGTTCACTTTTTCAAAAAGGCATAATATTTCAGTAGGATCCCAGTCAGCAGTGTCTGCATTTGTCCTCAAAATCCCAGTCAAACTAAAGGAATGGGATAAATACAGAGGAAGATTCTGTTTCTGACTGTGATAAATTTTCAGAAAGTGATGTTTATATTTGTAGTATTAGAAAAATTGCTAAAGCTGAAATTACTTCTGAAGTATTTGCACTTACTGCAAATATTGTTTATTATCAGGAAGTGAAATACAGCTGACAATTTTGCTTTGATATGGATGCTGTTAAGGGAGACCATTTCTTAGTGTATTTAGGTTTGTATTGTGATTTTTGACTATCAGGCAGAAAAGTCATCTTCCGGATACTAAGGGATTGATTTGTACATCCCATCTACATTTGAAGCATTACTACTCACTTGAGATAGACACTGGTTGAGAATTACTAGAACCAGTCATCTTTCTGAAGCTGGGGGAAATGTACTTGTGTCTGCATTGCAGTGAGATGATGGAATGCATGAAATTCTTGTTTGTGATGAAAGGCTTGGGAACAGAGAGGTGGGTGGGGAGTCTTTTACCACAGTGCTCTGAAGTTTTGTGGTGTCTTCCCTACCCCCAAAAATAAGCAAGCTGTTGAGCTCAATGGCAAGGCACTGCTGTCAGAGTGGTCTGGAAGGTCATGTTGTGTTCATGTCTTTGCAGCACTCAGTAACTATAGGAATGTGACAGGGTTAACTTCCTGACAAGTTTAATGTTTAATAAAGTAGATAAAGCAAGAAGAAAATCCTTGGCTGTCTCACTGTTCCTGGCCTGTAGAGTAGCTGAGCATACCAGTGTAACTGCTGTGCCTGAACCAGGTGGTTTGCATCAACACTGGATTTAGGCAATGAAGAGAAATGTAATTGCAAATTTGCAAGGAATTACTCCTCCTGGGTTGTTTTTTTTTTCCTCCCTAGCAGAAGAAATGCTCACACTGCAATTAAAATCCTAGGCTGTATCAAGGTGGTGTGAATGTTTGATTGTGCAATACTCTTTAGAAGACCCGGAATATGAGCTATACAGACAATTTCTTTAGATTTCACTCCTCCCATACACATTTTCTTCCTTTAATAAAGGTGTCACTGAATGGCAGCTCCTTGAACATGACAGGATTGCTGTTCTGCTTAGTCCTTAACAACTGAAGCTTGCAATATATGTCCTTTTTTTCAGTCCCTGCAATTTCTTACAGAAACAAGTAACTTTTTTTGTGATAATATCCATGCTAGCTTATAGTTCAGCAAAAACACTATTCCCCCCCACTTAGCTAACTGTGGAATCCCTAATTTCCATGCAGTGGTTAGCTGGAGGTAAATATGTTCTGAAACCTCATGTTGCCAATTTTTCTATGTAAGAAATCATTTCACTTGCACACCTGAATGGAGGTGTGCCAGCATTTAGGCTCAGGATGTTTTGATCCAAACACACTAGCAGTGAATATTTTGTTACTTAAAACCAATGAACCATTGCAAAGAGAGTGTGACATCCAAAAAAGCAGAATCATGGGAAATTCACCCCCTAAAATCTGTAGCAGACTTTTAAATTCCCTTAGCTGGCTTTATTGTAAGATGCTTCTCAAGTTCTTGTGGAAAGTGGTAGGATTTTTTGAAGACTAGGGGTAAAACAAAAGGGCAGATGTATAGGTTACCTCTTTCTGTCAAATCAGAGAAAGAAGAGAAACAGTTGGATTGTTTAGGGTTGGGGATGTGAGGCTGAAGAACAGGCAGTTCTGCAAAGCCTCCATGGCCTGCAGTGGATCAGTGAAGGTGCAGTGTTTGGGCGCTCAGCATCCCACAGAGCAGTCCCATCTGGATGGGTGGCTGATCTCAGATTGCACATTCTGTGTGTATCTGTGTTTTCTCTGCATTAGTGGATGTGTGTTGCACTAATAACGACTAACACATAATTTTTTTAATCAGTCTTAAGTCTTGTTGCCTGTGTGTGTGGTGAAATGTTTGTAATGTTTCATGGAGGACTCTGAGACTGCAGTTCTGCTGTTTTAAGATTATGGAAAGCAGTCCAGGATGTGGCAGCCTTTGGCAAGCGAGTTTAGCAGATAAAATTATTCTGCTGACACAGGTTTTCATGCTGACAGATAGCATGGGGATAATCTGTAATGCTGAACTTGTGAATTTGGGGGTGGGGGTGAAAGTCTGGTAGGGAAGTTGGCCTGTTGACACAAGAAATCTGTTTGAAAATACTGGAGGGAGAGTGCGGCCCAATCTGCTTAATTACTGACAAGCCTTTCAGGACATCCTTCAGTCTTTGACACAGCACCATGGTATCTCTAAGAAAAGAATGCAAGTCTAATTATATAGAAATTGAATGCCAGTGCAATTTGAAGACGTGAAAGGGGCTTGTGGGGAGCTAGTGGTCACTCTGCATTAGGTAGCTCTGTGTTACTAAACTCTTGGGTTTGTTGCTGCTTTGTATTGAAAACTGAAGTTTTCACTTATTAAAAGCAGAACTAATTTAGCAGAAATTCTGTTAGTGTTTCTCTTTTATCTGTGTGTTTTATACTAGAAGAGAGGTGCCCAGGAATTTCCCGTCTGTGTGTCAGTGAACTATTCTGTAATCTTAGGGAGTTATTTGGATTTGGATTCAACACATATAAAGACCTCCTTTTATTATTATATAAGAGTGATCGGTGAGGTGTGTGGAGGGAAAAGGGTACATTTTGGTTCAGTTCATTACTGAGATCACCCCCTTGTCCCAGCCTTGCATTCTGTGAGGTGCAAGGCAGGAGCTGGCAACCAGCAGCATTGGCCTAAAGGCAGTGAGCACACAGGCTTTGGCACACAGCAGGGCTGGGAGCTGAAACCAGGGCATCTGAAGCTGGGTGTCCCTGCAAGCCAGGCTCTCCTGCCTCCATATGTGCTTTCTGTGGAGCTGGTGTTGGTCCCACTCCCAGCTGGCATGGCATCCCTGAGACATGGCTGGCTGCTGCCATTGACAAACATCTAATTAGCTGTGCTGGTTTTTTAGCACTTACAACATCAAATCTGGTCATTTTCAAATTATTTCAGTTCCTATATGCCTTTTTCTCCTCCTTTGATTTCCACGTTTGTGTTGGACTATGCCTTAGAGTAAACAGATCTGAAAATGTGTTAAACAAGCACAAACAAGGCTGAAACAAATGGCAACCAAGCACATGTTCTAGTCTAAACAATCCATATATTTATTTTGGGAATATTTTTATTTTGATTGTCTTCCCTGTTCTCATTTTAATATAAATTGTCTTGTATGTTTGTTTTGGTTTTTTTAATGCAAGTCCTACATGTGATAGTAAAATATTTGCAGGAAAATAACCCAAGTCACATGTAAAAAGCAGGGAAAGAAGAGCAATCACAGAAGATGCAAAAGATAAATTTTCTGCATCTCTTCTTGGGACCATAGCACCAAAGCATGTAAGCTGGTGGCTGTAGCATTATCTTTTTGGCTATAAAAAGTGTTCAGCTAGTTATTTCTTTCCCCATAATCAGTCTGCATAAGTTTACTTGGTGGTTGTCACCTAGCAGCAATCTTAGAGCATTTATTAAGATGTCAGCCAGCCAGAATGTGTCCTAACTACCACTTTAGCTATGTAGTGGACAGAAAACAAAAATATGAAGTTGGAGGGAGGAAAGGCGAATTTGCAAAGAGATGGGAACAGGAGGTTTGAGAGGGTGGTGTGATACTGGTTTTTTTAGTATTATTATAAATTTTGTGTTTTCTTACAAGTTGGCCACCTCTGTATGGCTGGAATCCTTTTCAAACTGGAAAACAGACTTGAAGATGTGCAGAAAGCAGTATTTGTGGTGGAGGATGACTGAGGTGGTGATTGATGTAGCTCAGTACAGCTGCTGCTGCTGCTTCAAAACCTCTTGTGTCTCACTGACCTCAAGCAGCTGCGGTAGAATGGCTGGCCTTTAGCAGAGATTTCATTGCAGCTCCTCTCCAGGGTGTCCTCATGGATTTTCCTCTACTTTCCAGGACTGTCCTGGAAACTGAATAATCTATTCAAAATTTAGATCCACTGAGCAGTTGCAAATAAAGACACCGGCCTGGCTGGCTGAGAAGTGATTTGTCATTTGAAATGAAGAAGCAGTGACTTTTGATTCCTGGAGGACTTAGGGGTGTGTCTAATTTCTTAAATTGGTAGCACAAACAGGAAAAAAATGCAGAAGTGCTAAGAATAATCATCTTTTACTAAAAATGAGGAAATTACCCAAGGATTGTTCAGTTTGCAAGCTA